GATTAGCGCGTGGATTCTATTGCTCCTCTAAACTCTTTTCAACGTGCAAGCAAAGATGCGTCCCGCCATGAACATGGCCACTTACTTGGACGCACGCACGATGCATGTGCAATCTCTCTCCGCTTATCTCGCCGGGTACAGCCACGTCACCAACTATTCCAACGAACTACCAATTGACCGTAATAGCCCATCACTAATCACGTAAAGCTGGGATAAGCAAGGGCAATTTAGTCATAAATGGATACGAAGTTTACAGTGTCATTTCGTTTATCATACCCCACGCACGCGTGTGTGACAACCAACATGTTAACACAAAATGGATTAATTTTTAATGACAGGGAACGACCACCTAGAAAATCAGATGACAGAAGACTTTAGCGTCTGAATCAAACGAATTTTAAACAAATCAAGTGACCAGGTTTAGGTTACAGCAATTAGTCTTCCATAGTTTAAAAATAATCGTACCAGCTATTTCTTATATCGAATGATAGTCCAAGGTTAATAAAATTACATGTGCATGGAAATTATTCATCAAAAACATTTTTTTTATGTATTTTTTAAATTATCTTGTTAAGACTATCGAAAACACATAAATAAAATTATTTATAAATACTTTGAAAATCTTAAACTGAATTGGCAAATAGAGCTCTTGTAATCAAATATTCGATGCCCGTGTCTGAAGGGATCTGCCATTAATCAACACAACAATGACTCAATTGTTAAGCATAATTAACCAGCCTGAGCCATGGATATGTTTGGATGGATCACTGTTGAGTTTTTCAATTTAATGCATGCTTGTGCTGCCGGGCACAAAAGCATGTGCTGTTTTTCTTTAGCTACTGTGGATGGTCAAAAAATTTCCTTGCCGACACATGAATGCTTGATTATTAACGGGGAGGCCGGGGAGGAGGAGATTCTGGATCACCGAGATAATTTTTTTTTCTCGACAAGGACAATATGATGTGAAGCTGGACCGACGCAGAGTTGTGGATTAAAGACGTTGCTGTTACGGGATTAAGATGCATGGATTGTCTAGGAACAAGTTTCGCAAGTTTCTTATGTAAAATGCAGGATAGACAAATGGAGTGTTAGGAAAAAATGTGTGTTATAGATTGCTTGTATCTCGTCGGTGCTATTTTTTTAAAAAATATTTTTGGCCTTCATGCGTGTCTGTAAAACTCTAGATAGGCACGACTTAGATTTTTGTAGTTAAGCTATTTTTTTTATTGTCTTGCCACGTTTTAAGATTGTAAAGCTCATTCTTTCGATCCTTAAAAATATTATGAGTCATCTAATCATGGGATCAGTGTAAGAATTAATTATTGGTGGATTCAACTTCCTTTTTTTTTTCTTTTTTTTTTTTGAGGGCGTGAACTAGCATTGCTGCTCAACGTTGACACAATTCTCTGGGTTCGCTTTTCTTTGAAGGGAAGATAAAAAAACGCAGACGGCATGTTTATAGTTTTCAAGATAATCAAGAAATTAGTCTCATTAAACAAATGTATATTCACTTGGAATTCAGCTATAAAATTCTCATAAAACGAACACCGAAAGGGTATGTATGAAAGTTTTTTTCTGAATGATTGGAAGCAAGAAGCTGTGGGCTTTACATCGTTTGTACATGGAGATGCAGGTTAATTGACAATTTTTCAGTGATGCATATCTTGGCATGATTTATTTTTTACATAGTTATAAATAATCTTGGAGTATGTTTTATTTTTCACCGGCATGTATATATTACTCGCTAGTTTACAGGGTTTTGCCAGCTCCAACTCAAATTAACAAAAAAAAATATATAAAAAAATCAAGTTATAAAAAATTATTTTATAATATTATTATCCTTGAAGTTTTTCCACACGACTATATTTAGTCTGACTTTCAAATTAAATTATATAAAAATTATTGTGATATAATAATACAATTGATTTGACAGGTTCAAGAATACATAGCTCGGATGATTAATATCAGATATTTATTTGAAACTCTAATAAGGTTATTAAAAAAATAAAATAATTTACAGGAATGAAATAAAAATAATAACGAAAGATAAAATTGAGAATCAGGATGACACTCCATCTCTTTTAAATATATTATATAATTTCTGCGTGTATATTCAATAATAAGAAGAAGGAATTACACCGGCATTTTTTCCTCAGTTTTTGGAGACATCTTCTTTCTTTCATGATGGCAGCTGCTCCATCCCCAGTAGTGCATGGAGCCTAACCTATGGCTGCCTTGAAATGTATTTGGGAATTCTACCAAACTTACCTTTTCAAAGTTAGAGAAGTCTCTCGGAAGGAAATGATTCAAGGAGTGCGATCCAAGTTAGTTAAAAAAGAAAGGGTCAAAAAAGGGTGCATGAGAACAATATCCTCTCAATTAACGTTGAATTCTTTTTTGCAGAGAGGAGAGGAGTATTTCTGAAGCGATTGATGCAGAGAGGCCATGGGGTAAACCTCAAGTCAGCTAAAGGACAGTGAAAGGAGACGAAGGGTTGAGTGAGAGAGCCCATCATCTTGTGTTAGGCCCATGCAGAACGTTTTTCTGGTGTGCCCTCACTTTTATCAGTGAGACCTCCATTAATTATTAAACCCTAGATTAATCATCTCCTTTAATTGCTTGCAAAGCCTTTCCCATTTTCAGGACACCTGTGGAAAAAAAGGCTGCTTAGTTGGAATTGAAGTGGCCCGCTGTAAACTGTATATTCTAGAAATTGTTAAGACATGGAGCCCCTGTTTAAGAGAAGAAAGTGCGAGAGGAGGGTCGAAAATAGCGGTACATCATTCAACATTGTACCGATCTTTTTGTACTTTTAATTAGGTTTTGTCTGTTTGTGGTCAAAGAAACTCTTTGTATTATCGATCTGGAAATTAACTCGTCAATAAAATTAGATAGAGCATCTTCTGAAAATATAAAAACTCGTTTTAAAATCTTTCCGGTACTGAATTTTGTTTTTTTTATATATATATTTATTATTTATGTGTTGAAATACCAGTCAGACACGACATTTGTATTTTAGAAAATAAGAACCAAATAACATGTCAAAAATCAATATCTGTGATTTTTTAAATTAGTCTTAATTATCACACCTATTGCTATTTTCATTTTTTTTTAAAAAAATTTACTCTAATCTCTATTTATTTATTAACGCGTTATTTGTTTAAAGTCACACATGGTGCATGAATTATGGAGATTAGAGATCGTTATCTATTGGCTTAACTCACCTGTATTTTTTTCTATCACGGGAGAAAATTAACCAAAAAGGGAATACAAGGAGAGAATAAACTACTGATAACAAACAGAGAGGACAAAATAAGTGCTATCTCTTGTCCCTGTTATCAATAACTGTGTTTTTTAAATGATATTTTTTTAAAAGTATTTTAAAAATTAAAATATATTAAAATAATTTTTTATATTTTTAATATTAGCACACCAAAATTATTTAAAAAATATATAAAAATATTAATTTAATATTTTTTAAACAACAAAATTATATTTAAATTTACTTTTACATAATTTTGAAAATAAAAACTTAATCTAGAACTTGTGAAAGTAGACTGACCTCCCCTAACAACCCATGTGAAATCAAACATGACTTTCTTAAAAAGTGCATCAAAACACGATAATAGGAGAAGTGAAAGTGGTTGGTTAAAAAAATGCTATATTAAAATAATATTTTATTTTTATTTTTTAAATGTTATTTTTTTATACCAGTATATCAAAACAATTTAAAAAAATAAAAATAATTTTTCAATGAAAAAAGATATAAATTAACAGTCTTATCTTGTCAATTCAAAAAATAAATTAACATTCACTTGATTTTCGATTTTTTTCAATAATTATATGATTTTATCCTATACAATATGTTATAATATTATAATTGACTTGATAAAAATAAAAAATTGCCTTTAAATTATTATATTCAATGTGATAATATTTTGTAATTATACGAGCAAAAACATACCAAAAAAAAGACAAAGTAAATGTCATAATATACTCTATATACACCTCTCATGGGTAATTTATTCATAAAAAAGAACTCAATAAATCCAGTCGAAGGAGGGGGATGACTAGTTAGTCGAGAGAGAGAGTTCAGGGAGGAATCAGAAATATGTTAAAGACTGGGTACTGATTCGTAGTTATCCCATTTACAAGGAGGGAACTGGAAGCCCAGCTTCTACAGTCTTTCTCGATATTGGAGTTACAGAATCCAAAAGGAATGTGGATACGGCAGTGAAAAAACCTGACAAAAGCCACAGGCTCTCTCTGTCTCTGTCTCTTTCTGTGAATCTATTATCTAGACGTAGCACAGTTGATAATCCAATCCAGTCTCTGGTTCTCTTTTCACAACATTCCGCATAAATGCTGTAAAAAGGATGAAAACTCGTAATTCTCAGCCCCGATTCGAGGACTAAGCTGCAAATAGTCACAGTTAATTGATTATATTATTTTTTTTTATTAAATTCTTCATTTTTATTTTGTATTACTCTGTTTGGGTTTGTATCATATTAGGGAAGTCATGACTTTAACTTAATTTCATTGGGTCAGCGAGTATTTGTTGGTACGGTGATATATGATTTTTTTTAAAATAATTTTTATTAGGTTTTTTTATTTTTAATATTAACATATTAAAATTATTTAAAAAATACTAATTTAATATTTTTAAAAGTGATGTTCACCTTTAAAATACACTTTCAAAAATAAACACACGAAAAATGCTAACACACAACATGTTTTTTGGACGGTAAGAAGAAAACATCATCATCATTATTATTATTATTATTTGTAATTTCAAGACAGTCACTTTTACTGGTTGAGCAAGATGTCCATTAACAATTTAACACAAACAAAACACAAGGAAAAAAAAAAAAGAGGGAATTTTTTTTAAAAAAGGGGAGGTGCGGTGGGAGGTGGTGTGGGACCCATGTGGGTAAGGAGACAGAGAGAGGGAGACAGAGAGAGAGAGAGAAGACTTCAACATCAAGACAGTGGAGAAGAAGAAGAAGGATAGTAGTAAAAAAAGTACAGCTAGCTAGCAATGAAGGAGGAGGCTCAACTACCATATAGCGCCCTTTCCTTTCCTTCTTCAATCACTTGCCACTAACACTATTAGTACTACCCACCCACCTCTTCCTCCCTGTTTCAAAACTCAAACACATATCACACATTCCCCTCCCCTCTCTTCACCTCACTTCACTCCCACCGCCCTCTCTACCTCTCTCTATAAGGTAATGCACTACTCGTTGGTTAATAGTACTGCTTCTGTATCTGGGCTGCTTGGTTTTACTTTGTTTGTGAGAAACTGAGCACTTCCTTTGGGCTTTCAAACTGTTATTGAATGTGAATTTCAAATGTCGGCAGGATTACATTCTGTTGGCTGCTGGGTTTTTCTTTTCTCCGAGAGAAATTCAGCATTGTTTTGGGTTTTGGGCGGGAAACCATATGTGTTTTGGCTCTGCGTTTTTGGTGGTTTTGAGCTTAATTAGTTGTTCTGTTTCTCAAATTGGGTTTTAAATTGTTTTTCAATCAAGAATTTCAAATGCCGGCGTGGTTTATTTCACTTGAGGACTAATTGCTTGATTTAGATGAATTTCAACCTTGTTTGGCTGCTGTGAAACGAAGGAAAGAACTCGAGAAAACTCACTGTATTTTCCTGATTTCAGAGCCAAACTGGGTTCCCTTCTCTGCTTTCCTCAAATTTGTTGGCAATCAAATTAAGCATTAAACTAAGATATTTCCTCGAACAAATTCCAAGAATTCAAGTAGGTTCATTGCATTTTTTGTCCATTAGCATTTCATAAACGACAATTAAGCATCAATTAATTATATATTTGTTTTGCAGGAATTTGAAAGCACAAACTTCCAAAATTCGAATTACCAAGAACCCCCTTCTCTCCCTCCTCAAGGTAATTTTCTTTCCCAAATTATATTTCAAATTCCACACTGCCAAAATTCCAAATAAGAAAAGTAAAGCAGGGATATTATTTCTCTCTTGACCTCATAAACGCGTAGCACTTTTTCTAAAATACAATCCATAATGGATTGACAGGGAGAAAATTAAACATTTTTATTTTTTAACTTTTTCAAAGACCCACAGAAAAAAACGCCACAAACCACTCTTAATTATTACGTTACTACCACACATATAGTAGTATTACGTTTTGCCCATTACTATTTTTCTGTTTATTTTCTCACAAGATAAAAAATTTCTCAGGAAATAAAGAAGTTTTAGAGAAGTGAAGAGAAAATGATTGGACAAACAAATACTTCTAGTGGTTTCATGGACGAGATAGACTGTGGAAGCTTCTTCGACCACATCGACGACCTCCTAGACTTCCCGTCTGATGATGTCGACGCTGGTTTGCCTGACGGTACCACCACAAACAACCATGCTAGTTGTTTCATTGGCAACGATGATAACTCGTTTCCTGGTATTTGGTCGACTCAGTCAGAATCACTCCCCGGTTCTGCATCTGACCTCTCCGCCGAGTTGTCCGTTCCGGTGAGTTGATTTGATTAATTTTACACGCGGCTTTTGTTTTCTGTAATTCGGTGTCGCTAATTTTAACCGTTGGATTTTGTGTGCTGTGATGTCATTGACTGCCACGCTGGCAATTCGTGTCAGAATTTGAAAGCCTTGGATTTCTGGTGTCCAGGGGTGTTTTGGAAATTGCATGTATTGTCGGCGACACGCTGGATTTTTTTATTTTTATTTTGGTTCCATTGTGTAAGTCACGTGGGTTGTCATGTGATTTACTTAAAGTGAAATTATTATAATGTGCAAGCTGTTATAACCTTTAGAGGCCCACCATAAAAGCAGAGGGTGTTTTTTTTTTTGTTAATGTTTATTGTGTGTCAAGCAAGTGAGAAATTCAGGTTATGATTGCTAATTAATTATCTTTAATGAAAAGATTGATGTTGTCAAGCAATTATGATCTATCATTGACTAAAATGTTTTAATTGTTAGATGCTAATTACGGTTGTTTAGACTTTAATTGGAAGCAATATTTGATTTTGAATTGGTGGAACTCATTCTGTGCTGGTTTAATTTTGTGCATACTGATTGGAATTTGTGTTTCTGGAATTTAAAATATGTGATTTTTTGTTGCAGTACGAAGATATTGTTCAGCTGGAATGGCTATCGAACTTTGTGGAGGATTCCTTCTCTGGGGGCAGCCTGACAATGAAGAAAGAGGAGTCTGCGTTTGTCGACAAAAAGGACAAAAAGGACTCAGCGCCACACCCCCAGTTCCAGACTTCCAGCCCAGTTTCTGTCCTTGAGAGCAGTAGCTACTGCTCAGGAGAGAAAAATGCACCTCGGAGCCCCGAAGTTGTTGCTTCTGGCAAATGTGGGCGTGCTCGCAGCAAGCGTCCTCGCCCTGCTGCGTTCACTCCTCGCCCTGCAATGCAACTGGTTTCGCCAACATCGTCGATCACTGAGGTGCCCCAGCAATTTGTTTCCCCTAGGGTCCCTTCAGATTCTGAGAGCTTTGCCGAGTCAAGACTTGTGATCAAGATACCAAAGCATGTTGACCCAGAACATAAGAAGAAGAAGAAAATTAAGTTTATTGTTCCCTCAGGTACTGTGGAGATGAATCAAAACTCACAGCCACAGCAAGCAGTTAGGAAATGCATGCATTGTGAGATAACCAAGACCCCACAATGGAGAGCAGGACCAATGGGTCCAAAAACCCTTTGCAATGCCTGTGGTGTTCGATACAAGTCGGGCCGGCTTTTCCCCGAGTACCGGCCTGCGGCCAGTCCAACCTTTGTTCCTTCCCTGCACTCTAATTCGCACAAGAAAGTTGTTGAGATGAGAGCAAAGGCCGGGGAGAAAATTACTACCAGCAGACCTGCTACAATGATGGTCAACTCGCCAGAGTTGAATCCAAATGAGAGCAACCCTGCAATGGATTACATGTGAGGGAGGATGTAGAGAACAGTGTTCCTGTTGGATCATTTCACTTTGCTGGCCCCCTATTTTCACTGTCATGCTTCTCGCTCACTGTTATTTCATTTCTTTGTTCATTGGATTTTGTACAGAGATGGAATGGGGGAAATAGCACTAGATGACCACAATTTTAGCTAATAGAGAAGCACTGTAAGGAAAAACTCAGAAAAGGGTTAGAGCGTAATGGAAGCTTAAGGGATAGTAGAGTTTTAGAGTCAGTCAAGGGTAGGTTCTTAATTAAGGTAAGTAGGTATTGAGAGTCTGTGTTCGTTTCTCTTTTGCATTCTTTTCCCTGTTTTCTTTCGCCATGAGTATTCTTTTTGCAGTCCAATTTGTTAGTAAAAAATCCTGAGACGAGTAATGGATTTTGAGAACTTGTAATGATTCATCAATCCTCAATTTCCTTCTCCCATGCACGGCACTGTTCTAATTCTTAGATTCCACATTTCAGCTATGTTCGTCTGTCTGCGAAGCCTGGGTTTTTTTTAATGCTTTGTCAAATACCTTAATGGCCTCAGCTTTTGTTGATTGGAGAAATATATCCAGGAATGCCTGGATTCTATGCTCAATGGTAATTGAGCTTCTTGTACCACATCAATGGATCAATCTACTATCTAGTTTTGATGCACGGTGAATTGAGAGCATTACTGTCGAGAGAATTCAGGAGATTCGCAAATTCTGTCAGGTCACTTTGAAGTTCACAAATCATCATGATGAACCATCAAACAGGTGAACTGCACAAATGATGGATGTGTTCTCTAGTGATCTGGTGGATTGGAAATCTGATCACAACCTTATATTCATGAGGAAACTCAACTCTGTGCTGTTGATTTCATCAGATGTTATAGTGAATGAGGTGGAAGACAAGACCGAGAAAAAGTTCTGGCACCTTTGCAGATAAAACTGCTCATCTTTGGTACAGGCATCAGCATATGCATTAAGGGGACATTGATGAATCACTGCATCTATGAAAATAATGAAATCCATGTCTCTGGGGTGGGAATCAAATAGCGTGGCGATAACAGGCGTCACGTTTTAACTTCCCCAGGAGACAATGGCCTCGATTGAGAACATGCAATCATGGAACAATGCGATGCAGACTCGTCTTGTCCATAGCCCCGAATAAGGAAAAGCTAGCAGCTAGTTGGCAAGAGAATAAGAACTAGTGGGATCTTTGGATTCCCATATGAAATTCAATCTTGCTTCTGCTCGTTGATGTGGCCCAGCCATGATGTCCAGCACTAAATAATTTGAACAAAAACCAATTCTCCAAGACAAGTCAGATTATTAAAGGAATTCAGCTTCATACCAACCTGGTGCCACAGGCTACCAGGCAGGTGACAGCGAATAGATATGAGCAAGAAATAATCTTTAACAGAAGGACTTCGCTTGCTTAAACTTCAGCCCATGTAATCATCATAACCACGCCTTAGTTTGTTAACGGGGCATCTGGCAAGACGTCATAATCTGACCCTACACTGCCACAGAAAAGTCACAGTGAAGAATAATTTGCGTTGAAAAGAACACAAAAAATAGATTGAATCAATCATCATAGTTTGCTTCCACAAGTTTAAAGTTTGATTGAACATTTTAATCATAAATAAGGTGTGGCATTGTGTTCAAAGACATGTTTTACGTTTATGCTTTGACTTTGCAAGAATGACAACGTACCATGAGCAAGAATTGTCTATTCGATCACCAAATTGAAAAGCCTTAACGACCTAATATGGAGTGAACCCCATCGTCTCATTTCACGCATGAATATGCAAGCAGAAGGGTCTTCTTTTTTCTTCCTCCTTTAATTGCAGACTAAACATTGATTTTGCAACAATGAGTACCCCTCTCTTGTAATAATAAAAGATTTTGGATTAGGGGTTTGCTCTTTTTGTGCTCTCAGGTTCGAGTCTTTGGTTGCTCATATGATGGCCACTGGAGGTTTACATGGTCGTTAACTTCAGGGTCCGTGGGATTAGTCGTGGTACCCGGACACCCACGTTAATCTAAAAAAAATAAAATCTAGAATTTTGACTTGGAATTAAAGAATTTACTTTTTATGTGGTTTAAGGTTCATATTCTTGGTTGTTTTTATAATTATTATTAATTCGTGGGATTAATCATGATACGTATAAACTAACTTAAATATCCATGTTAATCTCAAAAAAAAAAATTAGAATTTTAATCTCTTTTTATAATAATAACATAAACATATTAATTTTCTAAATTTCACTTCTTGTATCTTTTTGTAAATCTCTAATTTATAATAGTAGTAATAAAAAAAATTCTATAATTGCCTAAACACTCCAAATAATAAAAAAAATTGAGGCATTTCTAATTGTTTTATACCGGTTTCATGGTACAATTGAAGTGGTTATAAAAATTGACGTTGCAAGTTCGATTCTTGCCAGGACGTACATATTTGCTGCATTGTGACATGATAATTTTTATTGTTATAATTTTTTTTTAAAAATAAAATAAATAAATGGCCGATAATGAGTGGACAGCATCAAAAGCAAGGTGCATGTTCTTGAATATTTTTTTGTGTTTTCCATTTTTTATTTGGTTTTTTTTTACACAAATTTTAATTTTTTTTCATATTCAATCACTTTAGTTTTTATATAGTTATTAAATACAATTATAAATTTTTATTTAAATCTTAATAATTATTTTTTCAATTTTTATTTAGCTGGAATGGAAATAATAATATTAATAATATTTTTTCATGAAAATTTGATTGAAATTGATGTTTTGTTTTTAAAATTTTTGAACATGATTTTATCACATTTTATTATTTGTTAAGTTTTCAGTTACACTAAATATGGGCATATTATTTTGATATTTACTATTAATTTATCTTAACAATTTTATTTTAAAAAAACAAAAATAATGATTTCAATTAAAAATATTATATTAAATATGATAAATAAGAGATATATTAATAAAATAAATTATCCTTATAAAAAAAATAAAACAACTATATTTTCAAATTTGATAACAATACCAAAAAGAATCGCCATACCTCAAAAAAAAATTATGTTTAAAACAAATTATATGCCACAATAGCGCGTATCTATCCCCTAATATGAACTAAATAATTATATAGTTGAAGTACTAACTTGGACTTTGTACAGCTTGATGGCGACCCTGAAAGTTAATGCTTAGCCTCGTTTTTTAAAGATAAAAACATAAATAAATTATAAGCTCATGATGGGCTTTACAAATAAAATTACAGCTGCTTTTGGGTTGGGCCTGATGGAATGAATTCAATAATGAAACATGTGATATTTGGGTTTAGGTGAAGCCCATTTAAGAAAATGGGCTGACCTGAGAATAGTTTTACAATAAACACGATGCTCGAAATCCCAGCATTCCTTGGACTTTGATGGTCTGTACTCTGTAGTGGATGGAGAAGGCAGAAAGTGTAGTAGCTTAGCCTGCTAGACTTCTATTCACTAGGTGTGGTCCAACGAAATGTGTACCTCAACTCGGACCACGATGAGCATAGAGCCTAGGACAAGATTTCCAGGTTGAGCCCAAACAGAAATTAACCAGACTCGGGCAAATGTGCAAAGCTTAGCCAATGCTATACGTTTTCCGCGTCATTTCCTTGAAAAAAAACAATATCTCAATAATTTGTATCATGTCAGAATAAAATACCCCACATTTATATGAAAAACAAGGAGTGACTAAGTCTTTTGATAAAAATTACAACGAAAATGAAGAATGATTAACAATTTATGGAATGAAATGGCATCATTCTTGTATAATTAATACTCATTAATTAAATCACAACTAGGTGGTCCTAGAGGTTGAAGATTTAAGTTTATAGCAAATCCACCAGCAAGCCCGCCGCCTGCGGCCACCGTGACGGCATATCAGCAGCCTCCGATAATGTGTCATACACGTGTAGTAATCAATGCTGAGACGGCCAATAATGATGCAACCACAAGGCAGAGTTAATGCGTGCCTGCCCTACTTCATTTATTTATAGGACAGATCTTTGTTGCCTCTCACATGCCTGGAAGACACAAACTCCATCGCACAAGCACTGCATCCACATCCAGGTCAACACTCCATGGCAAACGTTCCTTGGTAGTAAGACTTTAGATTGATAGATGAAGAGTCCTTTACAAGTTGTGTGCTAATTCCATCTACTCATTATGTGTCCCATTGCCACGATCGAGTGATGGAATCTGCCCACTCGAGCATAGTTGATTGTCCGATTACTAGATAAGATTGTTGTTTTTTTTCTTACCATTCATGGTTGAAAACCCGGTTAATTATGGATTAATTCAAAAGTTACAAAGTTTTATTTTAAAAATCAATAAAATTCACCACGTTCTAGGTTGATTTATCGATTTTAATTGAGTTTATTTTATTTTTATTTAATTTAAAATCAAATTTAAGATAAATTCGAGATAGATAGATTATCGACTGAAACTACCGAACACAAGAGGCTTTGACAAGAATGATTAACATTCTTGAAAATAAAATAAGGAATGAATAAATGATCAATTGTTTGGAAAAAAAAATCACCGGCCAGCTACTATGTACAATGGCTTTAATTTGGTGGCTTTTGTCAAACCCTAATGGATTGATAGTTTGGCCTCGCAGAAAGGATTGCTTGTAGTGCCGTCTAATCTAGCTGCTATAATTATCTAGGTGATGTAAACTGGCAGATTTTCCAACACCATGGCCATTCTAGGAAGCTGCTGGACGAGGATCGATAGAAAATTAAGAAAAGGCGTGTCGATGTCGTGTTTCGACTGGCCAGATCATGAGAATTTACAACGAGTTTGACTCTTTCGATGCTTTGTGACATGGAAGAGATAAAAGGGGTCTGCTTCGGAACAAATGTCGAATTTGTGAGATGAAAGCTTCACAAAAATGTCATGCTTTCACACAGACAGTAATCTTGGTTTGGCAATGATTATCGTTTAGGCTGCTTGATTTTTTTATTGTCTGCTGTCCTAGCTAGCTCTGTGTTTCTCGCCCCACCCATCACAAAAACTTGCATGATACATGAACACGCATTTTTCATACAAATAATTCCTAAATTAAAAAGTAGTCGAGTGTATAATTATATAAAAATAATTCTTAATTAAAAAGAATTCAGGAATAAAGCTCGGCAAAACACTAGTGTATATCTTTATACTTGTGATTAAAAAAAAAAAATAGTGAATGAAGTTGTTGTTTTAGTTTAAAAAAATGGATCCCACAATAAACAATTGTGTTTCTTTTTATTAAAAATAGGGATACATATCATATTTTATCTCAAAAGTAATACACATTTTTTCTTTATAATTAATCAAGTAATATGTGCTTTATTTTCAAAATAAAAATGGGTATTGACCAGATTATGTTCTTGAACAAGAAGAAACTTGTAACAATTGTGTTTTATTTATTTAAACACACA